GGTAGGTAATAATCTCCTCTATGAAGTTTGGTGTTCTTTTTGGCCTGGACTTTGACCTGCTTCTGACAGCCACCTACCTGCTTGCTAGGCTGCCTGTCTAGGTATTCTGGTTTCATAGAGGAAAGTTTTAGCAAATTTGGGATTGATGAGAGATAATAATAATAATAATAATAATAATAATAATAATAATTGGATTTTACATTGTCATACTACTTTGTGTCCATAATTTCTCCTTTTAAGCCTTTTATTTTGGCTTATAAATTCCAAAGTTGATTGAATTTCTTCTACTTCATCATGTGGTACAGAAGCAGAAGCAGTCCTATTCCTCCCCTGCCAAGCAGATACTGAGATGTAGGTAGTATACATAACAGGGAAAAGAAAGAAGTCACAGAGGATACTTTTTTTTGTTTTTCCTCACCAGCTCCTTTTAACAGGCCTGTCCTGATTTTCTTTAGGCCCTTGGCTGCTTTCAGCTATATGTGAGTCTAATAGTTCCTTCTTTCCATGGACTCTACATTACACATTCTAATGCCAAATAAGTTTCTGCCATTCTTGTCACTATGGCTTTCTTACTGGGTTTGTGTGCATCCATAAGTGCAATGGCAGCATCTCATTTCTTTGAATAGCTTCACAATTTTCGTGTACCTACCATAAAAACAAGCAAATTGACACCCTGCCAGGAGTAGCCAGAGGAGATCTTAGAAGAGACTTCGTAATGACACTGTTGCCATATTGCATGCCTGTAAATAATTCATTAAGTCAACCACCCTTTTGTTTTAAGCAAACACAAGCAGATGCCTTTTTAAACTGGATGCAGACAACAGTTTTCAGAAAAACATTATTGTAATGTGACACTTAAAAAGAACATGTTTGCTTTATTGATTTTTACAGTGGTAATACACAGTGATTACTTTTGTTATCCATTTTGTCTTACTCATGGGCTTTGTTCTTCGCTCTTATTATTTTATACTTGTGTGAATATGTGTGAAATTTTACTGTTAACAGCAAGAGTGTGGAAAGGTAATGAGCAATTCATAATCAATCAAGTAACCCCAGGCAATCTTCCTGGTCAACATTATCTGCTGGTCTGTGATGTTAGCACCACAAGCAGAATTCTACTGACCTCTTGATTCAGCAGAGTGTATGTTACCAGATTATTAAAGGAAATGCAACCATTTCCAAACAGGAAGCATATCTGGCATAGTTAAAGGGTTCTTGAATCTTTTAGATCAACCAATATATATGTAAAAGTCAGAGTTAGGGACCAAAAATCATGTTTATATTTTCTAAAAGTTAAGATTTGTCTGTGCTGACAGTACAATTTGCTTCTTGAATTCATGTATTTATTTATTAATATCTGTGTTGTTCCAGGAAATACTTTGATTCACTCCTTGAAATGATTGTTTTTAGAGCCTGTGTCCAATAAACTGACTCATATTGGTTATTATAGGAGTTCATAATCTCAGCTGTACATTAGAATTACTTGTGTGAGCTTTTATATAATACCTATGCCCTGTTCTTAGTCATTTTTGCTTGATTGGTCTGAATGGGCCCTGGGCAATAGATTCTGTAAAAGTTTGTCAGATATTTCTTATGTGCAACCGTCCTGAGAACTGACTCAGATAATCTCTCGATTACCTAGATAATCTCATTTATTTGGGGATAGTCATCCTAACTGCGAAATTCTGAAAGTAACTGAACCTAGTTACTAGCAGACAGTGGATCATAATTGTTATCATCATAAAGATACATACAAAATTATAGGATGATAGAACTAGAAGCAAAATTGGAGAGCTGCCTTCTCCGTGGTATAAATGAATAGAAATCCCAGAAGGTCCCAAAAGATTGCAATGCTAATTAGAGTTAAGTCCAAATTAGAATCCAGATATCTTAGAATTCTGGTCCAGTTATTATTCTATTATACATAGAATTTGCATTGGCTAAAATGGAGATAAATCTAAAGCCATTTGGTCTAATATAGAGAGGTCAAGAGATGTACAGACGAGGAAGGAATCAAGGAACTTTGGGGAAACAATACCTCAAGACTGGAAGGGAACAGAGAAAAGACACAGGAGGTTAAAGAGTTAAGGGTGAGTTACCAAAGTGGATGGTGACCGATAACACTAGGACAGCAGGAACCGAAGACAGAGTCCAGACTAAAAGAACTTTAGACTCTAGGCACATCATAGAGGAACAGGCACAAACTTACAGCAACAATAGTGGGAGCTAAGGTTGCTTCTTAGAATCTGTGAATGACATGTTTCCTGTAAACATTGAGATTAGATTTAGAATGTAGATTGGCTTGGGCCATAGGCAAAGACAGATGGTCAGTCTGGTTTGAGCCAGGCAAAGATGGGTGTGGGAAGCTCTTGTTGAGAGTCAACACGGCTCAGGATGGGCTCCAATACCAAATGTAATCCTTGGAGACCTTTGTAGGGGATCCCCTAACCAGATGTTCTGATTATCACCATTATGAATAGATTGGAATATTAGTACGGGGTTTATTGGTTCTTTCAATGCTCTCATGGCGATTAAAATGAGTGCCAGATGGCTTTCCTGACCCAGATAGCTAAGAAAACATTGCCCTTTGGCTCTTTTCTGTTATTATCTAAAAGAAAAAATAGGAAAAATAAAATTTTGAAAGGATCTGCTATTATTGTCATGCCAAATGCTGATATGATATCTGCTTCATTAAGATTATAGATTTTTATCATTCTGTGAATTATGTACATTGCACATACATATAACTTTTTTGATATTAACCTAATAAAGCTACTTTATCTTCTTTTCTTTGTAATACCTTAGAGTGTACATTTGACTTCCTGAAAAACACAGAAGTCTTAGAAATGAAATATTGTGGGTGAATGGATAAAGATGAAATAGCAGCATAGCTGAATTTTTTAAAAAGTGGATGGAGTAAACATATCCTCTTTCTATATGTTTTATTTTTTTTAAAAAAATCATTCTATATTTAAGAGGAATCATTTGTATCATGTACACAGAATTTCCAATTGTGTGTTTGTGTAGTAATGGGTTTCCAGAGAAGAAAATTTTTGATAGCATCATAAGAACTCTTGACATAAAACTTCACAAGTTAGATGGAAACTTTATACTTACTCCTTTCTACCCACCCCACCCTGCTACTTAGAATCACACCTAATTGGTTGTTTCTAATTCCTTTGAAGAACTAATTTGATAATATAATCCTCATTCTTGTGTAGTCTTATGGACGTTAATGCTTCAAGTGTTCAGGTGGCCATTTGAAATGGTCTTTCTACAGCAGAAAATTTTGTTTGAGTACATTTGGTTATTTAGAGAAATATATAAGAATTCCATAATTCATTTTAGCCCTGGGCATTAGTAAAAGTCTAATCTTGATAGATTTTGAAATTGTGTCATTTATGTGAGATCTATGGTACACTACATTTTTTTTTCCTTGAGAGTAAGAAGAACAAGTGCTGAAATCTCTTTCAGAGAGATTTACAGCATTAATAACCCTAGGCTATTTTAAGTCACAGTCAATCTTTATGGAAAGAAGTACAGAGATTATACAGCAATGCCTTTATTTTTTTCTCCTAGATTTGCAAACTGATATTTCACGTATAAGTTATTAGAAGAAAACAATGCGTTCACCCTTCAAGAATATGCCTAAGGTCATTACTTCCTTTTCTTTATTCTTTCCATCTGTGCTCAAATGTTCAATGAAACACACACACACACACCTCAAAACAAAACAAAACAAAACACTCTACTGAGCTCATCAAGTGCAAGCAGGGCCTGAAATTTAAACTTACTTTGTGATCAGAGAAGTACACAGTCTTCCCCATGAAGAAAATGGGCCATTAGTTGTGTGGAAAGAGGCTGAGAATGCCTGTAGATGGAGTGAGATTCTAAAGGCATACAGAGGAATGTTCACAGCAGCGTTATTAATAACAGTCAAAAATTGGAAACAGCTTTCAAGTCCATAAGCAAGAGAATTAATAAATTGTAGTGTAATCATAACAAAATATCCCTCTATGATAAAAAAAAAAGAGCAAAGTGCTAATATTCCCAACAATATCCTGTTTGGAAGAAGCTCTACACAAAAGCATATATTGTATGATTTCATTTACATGATTTTCTAGGGAAAACAAATCTATGATGGGAACAAAGATAAGAGCAATGGTTGTTTCTGGAGTGCTGAAGGCAAGTATTGTCTGAGCAGGTGCATTAGGGAACTTTCTGCAATAATGGTGATGTTTGAGGTCTTGCTAGGAGTTGTAACACAGATGCATGCATTTTTCAAAACTTAGAATACACATTTAAGCTGTGTTGTTTTCATTGTCAATTTTACATCAAAAGAATAAAACTGTAAACAAACATTGAACTCTAGCTAATGACATGCGATGAAATATTTAAGGGAAAGTGCACTGATGTCTACGATGCACTTTGAAATGCATCAGAAGTTAAGATGGATAGATTGATATCTAGAGGGATGGATAGGCACATGGATATATGATAAAGCAAGTAAAGTATTAATGGTAGACTCTAGGTAATAGGTATATGGATGTTCTTTGTAATCTTCTCTGAACTCTGCCGCATGTTGAAATTTTTCGTAATAAAATGCTGCAAACATGGAGAGAAGAATTGGTCTTGAGAAAAAAATTGCTGTAAATCTATAGGTGATTTTCTCAAGAAATTTTAGCCTGATGACATGCTGTTTCATATATTGAAATACATGGAGATGTCACAAAATACAGAGCTGGAGTATCAACATAGGCTGAGGGTGATTGAATTTAGGACCTTATGCATGTCTGAATTGTGAACCCTACTAAGGTAAAACACTACGATGTTTTTCCTATGTAATGCAAGCATATTCTTAGGCTTTCTACCTAAAGTACACTCCATTAACCGATGCTAATGTTTTCCTAAATTAAAAACCAAAGAGAAATGAAAACATTCTTAGTTCACGAAATCTCCTACTACATACAAAAAAGTCTTTTGGTTTTTTTTTTTTTTAGGAAAGATTGGTGTTTGGCTTCCTGGAAAGAAAAAAAAAAAAGACTGTCTCTTCACCCTCTCCTAGAAAAGAACCATCTAAACAAGTTACAGGTTCTCTCTATTGTTAAAAAAATCTGGTAAAGGGACTTTTCAACAATAAGTAAAAAAATACACTGATTTATCTGGAGCCTGGTTTGTCTCAACATGATTCCTTCAAACACCTCATTACTAAGTTGCTATTTAGTTTCTTAAAGGCTGTTGCCATCTGCAATTTTCATAGCTTTTAGAAAATGAAGGACAGTCCATATGTGGGCTGTGGGATGATTGATAGTAGAGTCACATTTTTGCAGTTTGTGATGAGAATGACAACTTTCTCAAGACACTGTTCATGGTAAGCCAAATTCAACATATCCTTCCCAATGTTGCTTTTGACCTACATTTCTCTGTTGCTGAATGAAGGATCTTTCCATATTGTCTTACAAAATGTCAGATCTTTATGTAGTGTCTCCAACCTTTAAATTTCCCTGGCTATTTTATTGCTCTGACCCTGACCTGCAAGGTCCACGACAGAACTGTATAAGCAGCAACTGGAATCTGTGCCCTCAGTTTGTACTGGTTTATTACTGACAGAATGTAAACAATATGCAGTTTGCTTTGCCATAATTTCTCAAGTTGCTCCTAATAACATTTAGTTACACATCTATTAACAGCTAAGAAATTTGATGCGGATTTACTGATGATTATTATATATATGCCATTTCATCTTTGACTATCCATTATGGTTCAGGCATTTTGATGGTTACCTAATCTACTATCTTTTTCTTTCCTTCACCGTATGTGTACCTTAAAGAGAAAAAGAATTGATTTTTCATCCCCTTTTACCCAGATTTTCTATGCCAGAGAGATAGGGTTCCTTGGACCAAGAAAAAAGTTTCATCAAGCAGGAGATACAGCCACTAATGTGTTATTTATGTGATATGATTTTTTTTATGAGAAGACAGTTGGGATGCCAAAGATGGATAGTCTCAACATATGCTCCATTTAATCTCTTTGATTATTAAAAGCCAGGCTGTAAAAAAAAAAAAAATTAAGCCTTTTTTAGTAGCAAGAGTAGGAACTTCTATACAAATTAGCTGAAATAGTATTCAGTCTCTACAAATAGCTTGTAATATATCCAAGAAGAAAATAATTTCCTTTCATCTGTCATTAAAAGCCACGAACCTTGAGTATATAAATGAATCACATGTGCTTCTTTATCTTTATTCTGTCCTTTGCTCTTTTATCTTTGCTTATAAATAGAAGTTTTTACATGAGAAAAAGCTGCATGATTATTTTGATTTATTTAGTACCAAGTTTATGTCTATGCATGCCATTTTCATGTGCATTCACACAAATCTTTGATTCAATTAGCCATCTGGAATAAAGAGCCTTTCTTTTCTGCAATATCTGGTATATTGGGGATTTCAGTTTTATCTAATTTTATCATTGTAATCTGATTTTCCTCTGTTTATATAATATATATATATATTTATTTCATACCCCCATAAAGGTTTTAAAACTAGAAGAGACCCTGGAAATTCCTAGTACAAAACTCTTCTGATCATAAAGAATGAGATTCAGATCTATGAAGTGACACTTAAAACTTATATATCCTGACTTCTATCTAGTCCAATTCCCTTTTGCAGAGCTATATGTGATTTTAAACTATTCTTATTCATCAACTGCTGACTAATCCACAGGTTAACAGTTTCTGTGGACAAAATTTTCTGTGGACAAAAAAGTTGAGTTAGGTATGCTAGGATTTTAAAGAACTTCCTTAGAGTTTATGTCTCCCTTGGAGTCCAAGAATGTAACTTGAAAGCTCAACTTTTAAAAGTAATTCGAAAGGCACTGTATAATAACACCTCCCTCCTTCTCTCTCTCTCTTTCTTATATTCATTCTCTCTATTTTTCTTCCCTTTCCTCTTTCTCTCCTCACCTCTCCCCACAGTACTATACTAGACATTAAATATACAAAGATGGATGAAGCATAGACCCTGCTTTGAGGAGTTTATGCTCCTTAAGGAAGTAAGTACACAGAGAAGTAAATACATGTGATGTGTGAACTCAGGAAAGAGAAGACTTAGAAGAATAATCTGGAAATGCTTCCTGAATGAGGCACACCTGAGCTGAATCTCCAAGGATGAAGAGGCATTAGTGTGTAGACAGAAGGGAGATCTTGGTAGATGAATATCATTTGCAATAGACAAATGCTAAGCCAATAAATTTTCTTTTTATATCCAATCTGATAGTCTTTAAAGGATTGCCACATTTGCTATCACAAATATACTCACCTTTTTCTTCTCATCAAATATATGTAAGAAGCAGTTGAAACTAAGGAACTGGAGGGGAAGGGGCACCAAATGGAGGCTATGCAGAGATTGCTGAACATGAAGTCAGTAAAACCCACTATCTGCTTCACTCCTCTCTACGTTTCTGATCTTGAAAATAGCATTTAATTCCTCTCAACTAATTTAGTCTGTTCAAACTCTAATTGACAGAATAAGATCTTCTTTGTACCATATAATGATGAATATCAGATGAGAAATAAGAGAGTAATATAGAAAATATATAGCATCGTACAGATAAACTATTCTTATCTACGTGTAATCTGCATTTAATTTACATGTGATGTACATGTAAAATTATACAGCATAACACATATAAGCTGTTATCTACGTAATCTACATGTGATGTACATGTAAAGTATATAGCATCCTTCAGGTAAGCTATTATTTATATGTAATGAAATTTACATATAATGTACATGTAATCAACAGGTGACATGTAAAACATATAGCATCATACAGATAAGCTATTGTTATCTACACATAATGTATCAGCTTTGTACGTGTGCCGTAGTGCTACTGTTCATCTGTACACCTGGGAGATGGAGAAAATTGGTGCCGTATCTCAAACTGATAAGCACATGCCCATTCAGTATATAGGATTTATACTTTTCCTTTACATTTCTCATCACATTGGTAATACCTAATGTTTGCCTTTTCTGTTAGGTCTGAAGTTGTCCTATTTCCTTCCATCTTCCTGTACCTAGTAAATTTCCCAAGAATATTCTGAAAGGCAGAAATCATCCTAACCCTCACTAAATATTTCCTGTGAGAGTGAAGAATAGAATTTGTAAACCTGTGATTATATAACCAACTGATCAACTTTTCACTAGCTCCATAGGCTTAATGTTTTAATTTAGTGTACACAAAACAGTATTTGTTGGAAAGGTGAATTTTCATGGGTGTTTTCAATTGGTATTTTTGGCCACCTGTGATCCTTTCTGAACATGCATAGAAGTACTCTTAGCCACATTCCAGTTCTTCTGTAAATATTTGCTAGATTTGTATTATGTAGAACATAGAGTTAGAGCATTGAATTATACAGATAAATAGGAAGTATCTAATAGGAGTCTCCTATCCTGTATAAAATGATCTGACCATACATCCGTAAGTGTAAAATGAAGAATTTGGGCCTAAACAGCACAGTAGTTTAAAGGGAGGAGAAGTGGGATGGTCAGAGTATAATTTCATAAAGAGTTATAATAATATCTAACTTTTATTGAATGCATGCTGTCAGGCATTATTCTAGGCTTTTTAGATGTATTGATTCATTTAATGCTTGCAACAACACTTGAATTAGGTACCATTATATTCTCATTTTAAATACAAGCAAATTATGGCTGAGTGAGGTTAAATAACTTGTTAATACAGCTGAGTCTGAACCAACACAGTTTTACTCTAGCACCTCCATTTGTGGTTACTGTCCTGTGCCTCCTCCAATACAGCCTTCAGGGGTGAGTCAGGTGTAACTGCTCAAATGAAGGGTAGAGGAAGAGTGAGCAAGAGCAAAGTCATGGAAGTGAGATCAGAACAGCCCAAATGGAATGGAGGCTTCCTGCTGAAGAACAGTGGAAGTCTCGACTAGAAAATTGAGATGAATTCACCGCAGGAAGTCTTGAGTGATAAGCTGAATAAATAGACCATGTTGTTGAGGCAGTAATGAACGCTTATTAAGTTTTCAGTATAGGTTGAAAACATTAATATTTTGGTAGGCAGAGGTTTGCAATAGGATCCATACCTTCTAGGCCTTTGAGTCAGCCTTCAGTTGTCCAGAAAGAAGACTGTACCCATCTCTGAAAACTCTTCTATTGGCCACCTCACCAGCATCTACTGTCATCATCCTAAGAGCTCCTGCTTTCCATTTGGGCCTCCTGAAGTCCCAGGCTAAGCCAATCTGTGACTTTAAACCTTTTAATAAGAGCGGCAATCAAATTTGCATTAAACTTAGGACTTTACCTGAAGGTCTTTAGAAACAACAGAGTTGAGCATGGCTAGGAGCTAGCCTGAGAATGAATCCAAAGCATAAGACAGAGCACAATGACAAGAATAATAAATGGAGCTAGCACCCTCATGATATCATTGGCTTCTGAATCCCACGTGTCTGAAGCCCACCCAACTTCTGGACTTTTCAGATATGTGAACCACTATATTTTGGTTTTTGAACCAGTTAGAGGAGGTCTTATATTACTTGCAATAAAATCACCACCCTAAGTAATACATTGCCCAATGCTAAGGATAGTCCCTTGATTTTAGGACATAGAAAAGCTCTGCCTAAGCTGGTGACATAGCTTCTGATATTGTCTCCCTTTTTTATGACCCCCTCTTCATGACCTCTTCACCAAGATAAATCCCAGTAATTTTTCATAGTTCAGCTCCACAGCCCCAAGTCCCAAGTCACTACCTCCTTTTCCAGGACTGCTAAAGTCCCCGTCAAGCTGTGGATGACCAAGGGATGGCTGTATATCATACCCAGGGCTTTTGCATCAAAGTACCCAGTGGAGGCCTCATCCTGTTCAAAATGACAAATTAAAACGAATCCCAGAGCTTTATTCTCTAAGAACATAAGACATGTTTTCTTTCCGAACGTTTCATTGCACTGTCTTCAGAATCAAGCTCTCTAAAGAATGTTATTATACCTTGAGCTTCTTGACACATTTCCTAATAATTTGAAGCTTCT